ACTCTCCGAACAAGGGTCCTCTTCTCCTTTGCATGTCAGCTTAGTCTTTCCCCCTGGTTGCTGATGACATTGTAACACTAATTACAGCTAATTGTTCTATGCTGAATGGATTTAGTCACATTGCAAATGATATGCCATTGGTCAGTGTCACAATGTTTCCACAGAAAAATTCAATGGGGAATGGAAATTTGCACAAATGAATGTAATTAAGAAGCACATTCATTACTTCTAATTGCATATGAGAACCCTCAAAGTGAAACTGAGATTGGACTCATATGAATAATTAATACAGCTAACTGTACTGAACACTATGGCGTTGTTGCCATCACATAATGATGTGCTAAACTACTGGCATGTATGACAAAATGTACAGTTTTGCACAGAGGCTGGTCCTGCTTAGTCGTGGACTTCCAGTCACATCCAACCCACTTTTTTTTCCATGCTTCCTCATGAAATCCCTTTATTCATGGGCAGATTGTGTCTAGACAGTTGAATTCCAGTCTCAGCGCAGGCTTGGTATTGGCAGCCAGACGTACTGGGTGAAGTCGGAGGTTTGAGAAGTATTAAAAATTCAAGTGGTCCCTGCACACTAGATCAAGTCAAGTGGCCTTTTCCAAAGACATGAAAAAGGGCAGTTGTAAATCAGTCAACTGGAAACTCAGTCTGAGAACTATTATGAAAATTTTGGACCTACAGAAATCAAAGAGTTGGGAACGTAACCCCCACAAAGTATGAACCCAGCAAGCCTTTAATCAGATTATTTGTCGACTGGCATCAGGACTTATATAATGTGCTATAAAAGCCTCGGACACAACATTACACAGAGCGAAAATTAATTCAAATATCAAACAAAATAATTGATTAAAATCTGTTATTTGACGAAGTAATTCCCTTTTTTTAAAATAAAGGAAAAAAAAGTGTAGTTTCGTAATACACAGTGCAGCATGGTTCAAACTCTAATCTTATTATACTTGCAGTGTTTAAAAAGGATTGGCTTATTTTAATAGCAGATTTAGATCTTAGACAGACAAGGTGTAAGCTGGTCATTTGAAAGCCATATGCCACAGATTAAGATACGGCACTATACTGTACGGCTTTTTTTCATGTCTCTTCCAGAGACTAATGCACTGCTTCAAAACTGCCTGTAGTGAGCTGCTTGTAAGTGGGCAAAAGCGCAAGCTCCTAAATCCCTTGGCTCCGACAACAGGAGAAAGAAATAAGTATATTACAAATCGTCCGGAGAACAAAATTGTGTATTGTTTGAAAAATGTGAAGGATTTAGACGCAGGGATTTGCTCCCACTTTGCTGCACTTTGTCTGAGGGCTTAACTCTGTTTGCTGTTCGTGACATGATGATTCCCATCATTCAGGGGAAAAAAAAAAAAAAAAAATCCAGGACATCATTAAGTCAACATCAAGCTGTTCAAAATTAATAAATACACAAAAATAAAATAAAAAACACAGGATTTAATTATTCGATGTCAATAAAACTTTATCACAAGTGCAGTCACTTCACTGAGAACAAGGCCAATGCTTATTATTATTACAAACAACAACAACAACAAAATCCACAGGACATAAGATGGGTCAAAAATGGCATTTTCATCAACTGGGAGCTTTTAGTATTCCACTTAAACAGTGCGCTTAGTGAATCCAGGGAAAAGCCAGTCACTACTGATGCCTAGAAGGCGAAGCTTTTGTAAAACTGTGCTGAAAACTGCACTGAGTCACTATGTGAGAAAACTGAAACAGTGCATCCTCCTTATTCGCGGGGAGAGATGCATTGCATATCATTATGCATTCCTGTTTTTGATGTTTTGATGAAGTGTTGCAATTTGGCCTAAAGGGACAGGTACGATTCATCATGCCTAATTGTTCTGGATGTGTAGTTCTGTAAAAGCCAGCTGTCAGACGTATGGGGGTTGGACCTAAAAACACACATGCTAATGACATTAATTTGCAGCTTTTATCTATTTGTCGAGACAGAGGAGGAAATATCAAAACCTTTGGAACAATGTGTGACAAAAGAGGCGACAGCACAAAGACTGATGGCGGGTGGTGAAGTAAGCCTGGAGGGGGAAGCAAGAGCCCATAAAATGAACAGCCGCCTAACTCATAAATAATAGAAACATAAAATGTCATATGAACTTTATTTCAAGAGTGGGTGGTCTAATAAAGATGCAGGTTTAAAGAGGAGTTGAGAAATTCATTGTCATAAGAAGGCCACATGGCTTGCCTTTGGCACAGACAATTATTCAGCACAAGCTGACATTCAGGTCCGAGCTGAAGCACCTTTACAAAACAATACTGTGTTTGACTCCTGAAATTCTCCCTTTCCACCGACTTGAGTCTTTCAATCTCTCAGCTCTATTTCTTCCTCTTCACTTGGAGTCATTCCATCTCCTCTCCCCTCTTTCCACTCTTCCTTGTTCTTTCTGCTTTACAAATTCAGTCGACATGATAAGAGATTGCCACCGCCATGCCAGCCTGGTGCTCATTGATAAAACCATATCTAATCCATCTTAGGCCCCCCCTCTGTCACCAACGCACTCATCTCTGAGACGGTCAACACGCGCAGGATCCATCTCTCTTTTTGAACTGAGCGGCACAGAGTCAGAGTTTATCTTTAAACTTCTGGGAGGAGAAAATGGAGCCGGATGAGTCAGGCGACTTTCACTCTGTCTTCAAATGATGTGCGAGCGTGTGTGTGTGAGCGCGTGTGTTAAATAAGCACCATCTAACAGCAAATGAGAGAACTTTCTTGGGTGGAGGTGAAAATATATGTGGTGAAAAGTGTATTTACTTAAATTACACCAATATCAAATGTGGACTTTTCTTGGATTCCTCAGCAGCGTGGGAAGGAAAGTATCTGAACGCTGCGTATATTTCATAAGGAGAAATATATATGCATGTAAAATTAATCAAATCACTTCTCATGCGGTGTTTACACAACCATCAAATATGATCAGGTACTGCCTGCTTTTACCTTTATAACAAGAAATATATTAACTTAAATACCACTTGGTGTGATAAGGTTACAACGGAGCATTACAAGGGGCTTTGTGGTCAAATAACTATCATGACTTTTCTAATAACCAATGACTAATATAAGGCTTAATATGACACTCTCAGTTAGTCTGTTAACACACTCACTCTGATTTTCAATGCAGCAATTTTTAAAAGTACACATGCATTTACTACATTAGCATGGTCTTCTATCTAAAACTAATCCACTTCAACAAATATTACCCCAGAGGGAAAGTGGGTAATAAGTGCAGTATTTGAGTAAGTTTATGAAGTATGAGATGTTTATGTCACTGAATATTAATGCGATGATGAGCAATTGCCTGTGTGTGTGAATGAATCACATATATGAATCACTGCTGTCACCGTGGTGAATACATTAAAGAGAACAGCTGGGGAAGGAGAGGTTTGATCATTAGATGTATGTGTTTGCATGTGTGTTTAGACACGTGCCTGGTGTGCAGATATGTGTGCGTGAGGGAACGCGGAGGTCAGCTGATTTCTTGCTGTAACTTGGAATATCCCCTTATCAAAAATAGAAAAATCACACACGGGACGGACATTTGCATGTAAATGAACGGGGAGCCATCGCCGGGATGTCACCCATCTTGTCTAATGTCTAACAAATGCATTCACAATCACACTCACACTGACACCCGAGCCCCGGACCTGTCAGCGCAGCTGCTGGGGAGGCAGATGCACCAAGGACTGTTGTCTCACTTACAGCTATGACACAATGGCTATACTGCACGTAGGTGTATGCGAAGCAATCTATTTCTCCCTGTCCTGTAGATTTTTTTCCTGCTAGATGGAAAAAAAACACATCAGACTTGGTTTTTTTGACAGGTAACTCCATGCAATGGCTAAAGCATTTCTAGCAATGATACACACGGGCCACAGGAGGAGTGAAGGTCTGCACCGATCTGAGCCTTGATCCAGCCTGCAATATATGATGCAGGGTTACTTCCAGAAAATAAAATCGAACCCACCAGGACTAGAATACCCAGCTCCAAGTGGAGGGGGGTTGGTATGTGACAAGGACAGGGATAGGGGACTCAGAATAGCCTTGTTCGTGTTAAGGTGGAGCAAAATCATTTCAGCAGCATCATTGGCATGCTGCTGGTGCACATGCTTTGGATTTACACTAGCACTAGTGGAAAAACCCTGAGTCCTTTGTGGTGTGTCTTAAGCACACTTCTTTTTCCCCCTCAGCTAGTTATTTCAGCAATGATTTTTTTTTTTTTTTTAAATCTGTTGTATATGTATGAGGAAGGAGTTGTGCATGCCAGCGTTCAATGGGGCTTTTTATGGAGAACATCATTGGGCAGTAAGCCATACAGTGACAGCTGTCTTGTGAATCATTTGAATAAATTCAGCAACAGAGTTCCAACTTCAGAGGTATAATTCCCCTTACGTCGTGCAGCTCAGCACTGGACAACATTTACAAAATCCAGCCTTACTAAATTAATTGTCGATAATGAATGCACCGTTGTGCAAGTCGCACACTTAATATTATTTTTGCACTCCCCTGACAACATTTTGATCCAATCCAATTTATTTGCATCTCTAATATGACTGGGATGGTTTCTCGTTTCAAATCTCAACTCACTGACACACACAGTACTTGGTTGACTCCTGGTGCCCCACACTGTTGTCCTACTCGTCTAAAGAATGACCTCCCAAAAACAACATGTATAGAAAACTGTGAAAAATGTGATGTGTAACTAGCTTGTTAGTAGTTATCTGACAGGAAATTGTGTCTTATTAAATGTTTGCAAGGCTGTGTTGTTTCTACAAAAACCACAGCTGTAATCTCAGCAAATTATTTTACTGTCTAAAAACACAGATGGCACCTTGTAAATGGCATTATGGAGTGTCAGCCTCAGAAATCACAAGAAAAAAAAAAGATAAAAATGTGAAACACAAAATAATAGATTTGCATGCTGTCTGAGGGAAAAAAAAAATTCAGTACTCACTAGATTCAGGGTCTGAGTTCCCATCTCCCTCGGTGCGGCTGTTAGGTGATGTTTGCTCATAGTACTCCTCCTGGGGGAAGCTGAGGGGAAGAGGCTGGGTGGTGCTGGCTGTGCTGCTAGGTTCCGGGTCTCCCAGTCCGCTGTCACTGCAGCTCTCCTGGGAACCGTCTGGAAGATGGAACGTCACGCGGCGCTGGGTCTGGAGCACACCAACAAACAAGAAATGTACTATTAGAAACTCTGCCCTGTTTAAAATGCCTGAAAAGTGTCAGAAGAATACAACTTAAGAAAAGTACAGCAGCGTAGTGCGGGTGAGAATGCAATAAACCATTAAATGATAAGTCTGAGAGCCAGTTCTGTTGTCCTGCAGGTCACAGCTAAAGACTGAAGTTAATTCTACGGACCAAGAGCTCAAGAGGGGCCAAATACCAAACATACTTCATTTAATTATTGAGCAACATTTCTTCAAGGGCTCTAAAATGTGTTGCTAGTCTCAAACTAAAGACATGTGTCAGTGTTGAAAAGAAGGGTAAGTTCATGCAGAAATGACAAATAAAAGAAAATGTCTAGGTTTAGAAATAACTACTCAGTGGTGACCCATAGGGGGGGGCAGGGTGAGCCATGTTCCCCGATACCACAGCTGGTAATGGAAGAATTTCCATGTGGGAAAAATTCAGGAAGTAAGCAAAACGTTGAAGAAGAGTCTTGCAAGATAAATGTGACACTTTCTAATGTCACAATGGAGGGATGGTGAAAACAACTGGAGGCCAACATGACTGTGTTTAAGGGTACTTTCACACCTGCCCTGTTTGGTTCGGTTAAATCAAACTCAAGTTTGTTTGCCCCCTAAGTGCGGTCTGTTTGGGCAGGTGTGAACACAGCAATTGCACTCGGGTGTGCACCAGAACAACACCGAGACCTTCTTGAAGAGGTGGTCTCGGTACGGTTACAAATGAACTCTGGTGCGGTTCGTTTGTGGTGAGAACGTTTTCCGACCTGGATCTGAACCAACTGCAGTCACATGACACATTGTTTGGGTTAAACATGAGCATGTTACAGTCCTGGAGGATTATTAATGTGCACCTCCTCCTGTACTGCCTTAATATGCACATTCAGCACATCCAATGCATCAAAACATTGTTTTCTAGTTGGAGCCGCGCCTCGTTTTCAAACTGTATGGTTTGACTAAAATGAACAATGACAGCAATATAGTCCACAATGACCAGCGCTAAAATCAACCTGCATAGTTGTCCCTCCATTGTGACATTAGAAAGTGTCACATTTATCTTGCAAGTGTACTCTTCTTCAATGTTTTGTTTACTTCCTGGATTTTTCCAGCATGGACATTCTGACCAATCAAAAGCAGCTTTCTGGCACAAGGCATTTTATCTGGTCCGCTTGTAAATGCTGCCGTGAGAACACGAGCCAACTCTAGGCAATTATGCAACTTTGTAAGAAAATTTGTCCCTGATTCGGACCAAGACAACTATAGGTCTGAAAGCACCCTAAGAGACTGTGGTGCACTCACTCATTTTAGGCTAGCGCAAAGGTTGTGGTATGTTGTGACACTATAGACAACTTACGGCATCCACTGGTACCAACCATGAATTGGGCTAAATAACGCTCCAGAGTTAGGCTAAATTTCGGCGAGGGAACAACAAAGGGGTCCCTTGAACTCCTCAAGATATCTGATGAAAATGGGTTCTGTGGGTCCCCACGAGTCTCCCTTAAACTTGAGAAGGCTTGTTCCCAGTAAATGCTTCTTATAATCAATGTACTCCTTCAAATTAAAGCTGTATATTTGTCTTTTTAAGAAAAAGGAAAACCAGCCTATTTTAAGATCAATGAATCGTCTAACACATGTACAGATACATAACACTTTAAAGGAGGACTGTCATGGAGCTCAAAATGCTAACTGTCCTGGTATGAGGCACATCAAATAATCTGTGACATTAACTGTAAAATAAGAAACCAAAGTATATCAGTATGTGGGCAGCAGTGGCTCATAAGGTAGAGAAGGTTGTCCACGAATCGTAAGGTCAGCAGTTCAATCCCTGGCTCCTCCAGTCCACATGTCAAAGTATCCTTGAGCAAGATACTTAACCCCAAATTGCTCAAATGGCTGTTTCATCGGTGTGTGAGTGTGTAAAAACACTGAGTAGCAGGTGGCACCTTGTACGGTAGCCTTGGCCATGAATGGGTGAATGTGACGCTTTGAGTGATTAGTCCATTTACTAGCTCTCCATATTGGCATAGTTTTCAATATCTTCCTTTTGGTGTGCCACTGCTAGATTTTCAGTGGCCCTATCTGGCCCCTATGACACATTTATGGGGGCTCCACTGTATCCACCTCTGAGATTTCTGCTTCCACTCCAAGTACAAAGAAGATAAATGAGATTTTATGGTGCTCACAGCACTGATAAATGGCATTTAAAAAATCAACAGTGATGTTTCTTTCCTGAAAACAGTACCCACGCTTCTTTTGAGAAAACACAAAGAGAAAAGTTTTGATAGAGACTACTTTTGCAGTAGAGAGTAGCTCCAATACAAATTGTTCACGGTGAGGTCTCTCCAGAGGAACAAGGACATTTCCTCTGGAGAGACCCATTGTTGCTGAATCTTTTAAAATGTAATATTTCAGTGCTTTGAGCATTTATTTTGCCTCCATCGCATCGAGGTGAGGACAGAAATCTTAAAACCGGAGCATAAAACTATCCGCAGGGCTACGTCACAGCAGCTAACTGAGAAATGTGGGTTTTTTCTTTTCTCATGTTGCTGAATTGACCAACCTTGTGAGAAGAATTAGTGAGTCACTGAACTGATGTCACCATCAATTCAAAGTCTGACCCCTAACCTATGTTACTGCTACACTTTCTTTTTTTGTGTTTTCTTATCAAAACACTGATTCATTTATTGGCCACCAGAGAGAGGTATTTAAAATCACATCCTGTCGTGCCAGGGATGCAAAGCACCTAGAGAAAGTATCCTTTATAGGTGTTCTCTCCGCTCCTGCTGCTGGCACAGCACCACTGACAAACAAAGATTATTAATATCATCATGAGTGGTGACAACAATGCTCTTTTATGGGTGAATGAGTACTGTGAGACGGCATTTACAAGGGAAATCCTCGCCTAATTGTATCAAGCCTTGTTGTTACACGCCCAGCACTGCATCCATCATCTTTACCTGCTTTTAGTCGGACAATATGCTAAAATTGCATCCTGGGGACTAATTGAAACGATGACCTCATAACCCAAAAATGATTTCTGGCCTGTTGAGTCTGGCGAATTACTTCTCTGATAATAAACCGACTAAAAGATTTATAATTGAGACTTCCCGTCCTGATAATAGATGGGATGTGTATTAACAGGTTGAACTATGTCCTAGTTTTCCCTCTCACCCAGTTTAGACACAAAAGAAGTGGAAAAGTGTGTGGAGGCTGAGACTTTGATTTGTAAAGTCTTGGGGATCACAGGAGTGTGGGCATTTTCTTCTGAAAGGTGCAGGCCTCTTTGATTTCTCTGGTGGTTTACAGAAGTTCATGTTGCGACCTTTCTTTGGAGCTAAAAAAGAAAACACATCCTGTGTGTGTGCAGTGATGTCTGCTAACATGTTAGCAGACATTCCACCGGCAAACAAACCGCACGGCTGCAATCATTCATATTGTGAGGAACAGTGGGTAATCTGTAGATACCACTGATTTCATTTTTTATTTTTGTTTTTTTATATCCTCTCCTTTGAGTTTGACAAAGAACAAAAATGAGGAGTGAGGAGATCAGACTGGGCTTTGAGGTAATAACGGTAAAAATTGTCGCAGTGATATATACTGTAGCTTGAATTCATGTCTTCACATGACTCCCTGAGTAGCATCATACTGCATCACACTGTATAGCAGCATAAAACGCATAAAACATAATTACGCCCTCAGCTTCAGTTATTGCGGGGAATTTTATTCGTCCCATTATTCAAACTGATAAGAGATTTTTTTTTTTTTTTCAAGAGCAAATACAACCGGAGCGCAAATTACTATCTTGATTTTCCTCATCGCTGTAACAACAAAAGCAATATGCACGTCTTGAATTAAAAACATCATTAACACATGCTCCTTTAAGCTCGGGAGGAGGTGATGTCTTCATGCGAACATATTTTTCCTTAGCCACTATAGAGCGTAGATAAAGCACTTATTGTTCTTTGATAAGACTAAATAAGGCTCGGGGAAATAGGAGAGAGGCAGAGTGAAATAAAGTCTGGCACTAATGAAGGACAAACTGCCAAAAACCAAGTGCACAAAAAGCTTCATTTAAAAACTATCAGAGAGGGTTGACTAACCTAAATCCACACAATTAGCACCCTGAAAGCACAACTGAGTGGTTTTAAACGCTGTGATGTTGAAACAGCTAGCTAAATATTCTATTTACTTGATTCATCTAGATCCTGAGGCCACAAATCACTGTGTGTGTGTGTGTGTGTGTGTGTTTGTGTGAGTATATGGTAGTAAGTAAAAGACTGATAAGAAATAAGGAGAAAAGGAGTGGAAAAAGGGCACGCAGTCAAAGAAACAAACAGAAAAAAAAACAACCTTCAACTGGTGTGAGATAACAACTCAAAAACAAGAGCTTTTTTTGTTGCTGTTTTTATTTAGTAGGAAAATAAGAAAGAAGAGAGTTATCTGCTCGCACGCACCATACTAATTCCTGAACCGTATACAAATATACGATGCAGGACTCCTTGAAATTAATCTTGTTTTTACTGCATGTGTTGTGACATCGTCTGCTGCCAAGTGATGAGGTATATTTCTAAGGTTCTGCATAGAAAGGAGTGTTTTTTTTCCCTCCCCACTTCTCGTGCGGGTTTTTATTCATTTTCTAAGACAGGGAGGATACGAATACCTTGTTGGCAAAATCATATAGCTCTGTGTGCCATGTTTGCCCACGCTTTCAAGTAGTCCAAATATCTACTTGTTCTCAAACAGCGTTGGCAGCTGTTTCTCAAATTACTGGAGGATGCACGCAAAAAGCAAAGTCCAGGTTCCAGCAAAAGAAAGAGCCCACTTATGGGAGCTTGGCAGCTCTACAAAAAGCATGCTTCCTCTCCACATGACTCTAATTATTGGAAACTTGCTCCAACAATGGCATCCAGAATCTATTAGAACAAACAGCTGTCCGTGACAATTAGGACATAATGATTTTGCATAAGGGA